AATTAAAATCAAATTACGTAACTCGTTAATAATAATTTAACTAATTATAAAATAAAATTAAATTAAAAATAAAAAAAATAAAAATAATTAAAAAGTAAACAAATAATCAAATTACGTAACTCGTCAATAAAAATTACACAATATAAACAAATAATGAAATTACGTAACTCGTTAATAAAAAATTACACAATATAAACAAAGTAATTAAATTAAACAACAAGTAAACAAACAAATTAAACAAAATAAAAATACAATCAAAGTAATTAAATTACGTAACTAGGTCAAAAAATTAATTAAAATTTAAAAACTCATTAAAACTAATTAAAAAACTCATTAAAATTACGTAACTCGTTAATAAAATTAATTAAAAATTTAAAAATTAAATTCAAACTCATTAAAAAACACATTAAAATTACGTAACTCGTTAATAAAAATTAATTAAAACTTAAAAATTAAATTCAAACTCATTAAAAAAGTCATTAAAATTACGTAACTAGGTCGCTGATTACGTAACTAGGTCAATGATTACGTCATAATGTTACTAATTACGTCACAAGGTCACCAAAAGGTGACCTACTGACCTACTGACCTACTCCCCATCCGCATCCCTGCGCATCCTCCCCATCCCCATCCGCATCCCCATCCCCATCCCCATCCGCATCCCCATCCGGAGTATTTTACTATATGTCTTTGCGCCTGCGGCTCCTTCACCCTGCGCCTGCGCCTGCGCCGGGAGTATTTTACTATATCTCGTTGTTCCTGCGGCGCATCCCCATCCCGAGTATTTTACTATATCTCGTTGTTCCTGCGGCGCCTGCGCATCCCCCTGCGCATCCGAGTATTTTCCTATATATCCTTTGCGCATCCTGGGTGCGCCTGCGCCTGCGGATACTACCCAAAAGTGACCTAATATACTACTCAAGTATCCTTTGTATCATGTTGATATACAAGTATCCTTTGTATCATGTTGATATAGCAGTATCCTTTGTATCATGTTGATATAACAGTATCCTTTGTATCATGTTGATATACAAGTATCCTTTGTATCATGTTGATATAGCAGTATCCTTTGTATCATGTTGATATACAAGTATCCTTTGTATCATGTTGATATACAAGTATCCTTTGTATCATGTTGATATAACAGTATCCTTTGTATCCCGAAGTGTGACACCATTACATTAGCTCGAGTCATTACTGACACTTAAAGCACCAACCCCGCCCCATTACTGACACTTAAAGCACCAACCCCGCCCCATTACTGACACTTAAAGCACCAACCCCGCCCCATTACTGACACTTAAATCACCAACCCCGCCCCATTACTGACACATAAAGCACCAACCCCGCCCATTACTGACACTTAAAGCACCAAACCCGCCCCATTACTGACACTAAAAGCACCAACCCCGCCCCATTACTGACACTTAAAGCACCAACCCCGCCCCATTACTGACACTTAAAGCACCAACCCCGCCCCATTACTGACACTAAAAGCACGACCCCGCCCCATTACTGACACTTAAAGCACTAACCCCGCCCCATTACTGACACTTAAAGCACCAACCCCGCCCCATTACTGACACTTAAAGCATCAACCCCACCCCTCCCCCCCCCCCCAACCGCCCACATTTCACCAGTGCCACAAACGCCCCCTTCATCCGACTCTAGACACGGTTTATCATTCATAAACAAACATCAACCAAGCACAATACACTCTGTTATGCTACCTGCCCACCACCTACCCCCCCCCCCCCCCCACCCCTCTCTGTAACATAGAAATTACGTTAAGCCTTGCCTCGCCCTAGGTGTGACCTTTGGGGAATGGGCAGACCCACCCTGACCCCTCAACCCTTAACTTGACCCCCGCATTAACGTCATTCCATAAAAATGTATGTAAGTCTAAGTGATCCAACCTAACAACTAGACTGTTTATTTTACTAAGTCGTCTACCTACGTGACCCAAGTTAACTAGACCTCGCGTACTCTCGACTGCATTAGGCGACTCAACCACTTTCAAAAAACACACAGAACTAACACCTTACGGAAGCAAAACACATTAAGATCACTCTGCCCCGAGAAACTAGTATGAGTGATCCAATGTACTGAATAAATAACAACAATGGCTCAATCTTCACAAGCTTTTACCTAAATCGCCAAGTACGTTTGTTTGTCTGTGGGTTTGTGGTCAAATCTTGTAGCTCAGTGTCGACCCATTTTTTAATCAGCGATTGTTTTTAAATTATTCTACATAAGTAATGTCCTACGACTACGCAATAATAATTTTTTTTCAATATAATTAGTGATAAAAAAAGTCATTAATTTAAACATAGCTAAATATATAAACCAAAAAGGGAGATAACTTGATATTGGCGATCACTCTATCAGTCAGGTGAGGTTTTTATGTTTCTTTTGTTCAAAATCTTGTCCTACACGTTTATGATCAAGATTATTTACGACTGTAAGGGGGAGGGGCGCACCTTAAATAACATGCCTACTATACAAGGTAAATCAAATATTTAGGGTATGTATAACTTGAGGTGTCAAACGATAACAATCAACACCAGAGGACAAGATGACATTAAAAACGTTTTGTAGCTTGTGGATCATCTTTTCTGTATCTAAATACCACGAATTCCAAACATTTTATGGCAAACTTCTGTTTTAAATTTGTATTTCAATTTTTTTATTTAATAGTTTCTTGCAACGTGTAAGTTCAAGTTGGATATCCACTGAGTTCGTGCCAGGATAAAAAAAATGTCCTACCTTTTTTTAACTAGTTGCACCTATGGCTCGTGATAGAGTCCTATAAAAGAAGAATCTGGTCATAAAAATATATTGTGGTAAATGTAACGGTGGTTGGGTTTATAAATCATGGTCATAAAAATATATTGTTTTCTATTATGTATAGGTGGGTGGGTTAAAGAGGGGGCGGTCACAGTGTGCTCTAAGAAAATATAATCGATTTTTTTCACAGCCTTTTAATTATTGAGCTGGTCACAATACGTGCATACACGCTTACACACACACACACTTAGACACACATTCACACGCTTAGGCACACACTCACACGCTTAGGCACACACAGATACAGAAGACACAAACACACTCAAAAACTGACCCAGCGAGAACCCCACAAACAATGATGCACAGCTACTTCGCACGCACACACACTCACACACACACACACATGCCTATACACACGCACGAAAAAGGAATAAAGTTCATGATGTAAGAATTTATTCACTCGCGGGATGTTGCGATCTGTGATGATAAACACAAACATTCCAACATCAGAAGACAATCAACATCCCAATGACGTCATAGCTAGACAACCTTCTCCAGACTCTGGCCACCCATCTCAAGGTTGTCGCTCTACCACTGTATACAACAGCGTTAAAGTTACGTGGTGTAGGGGGTAGCGCGCAGCAACTAGGTAATGTGTCCCGACAGGCCGGATGTTGAGGGGTGGGGGGGGGGGGGGGTCTTAGAACACGAAGCCCGGATGTCAGGCATTGTTTCAGGCCCAAGTGTTCAAATTAAAATAACTTAGATTTAATCGCCGATAGAAATATTTGAGAAAAAAAGACAAGCTGACAAGATATTTATCTGTTGAACAATATATATATATATATATATATATATATATATATATATATATATATATATATATATATATATATATATATATATATATATATATTGTATATATATATATATTTTTGTATATATGATATTAGTTAAGGTCATGAGTCACAGTTGATCTGTTTCTGGAATAAAATCTTCAATGTTACCATACTATTCTAGTACGATCTTATCAAATATCTGCTGAAACTCTTTACAAACTTAGTATGGGACTCCGTTTTATCAAGTTTTATAATTTTTTGGATTAACCGAAATTTGTATCTTGTCGTATTTTAGAACTGATGTTACTTTAACGCTTGTTACATGATTAGCACATATAGCCCTTTAACCATATGTTATTAAATAGTTTAGTTGTAATATAAAATTAAAAGAAAATACTTTATACAAAATATTCATTAATGATGAGAATTCTTTCTATTGAAGTAAAGTCCCCTTTTCAAACCTGTCGGTCAAGTGAAGTAGAGTTGACCGGTTTCTGTGACCTTGGCTTATGAAGGGATAGTGTGGTCAGCTCTATGCCAAGCCGCCTTTACTTTCCCTAACGTAAGTTAGGTACCCAACAGAGCTGGGTGGACTCAGGGACGGTCTACTGACTTGAACCCGGATTCGAACTCTGGATTAGTAATCTAGCGCTCTACTGCTAGGCCACGCCACGCAATCCCATTTTTTTTTATTGAAGGCCTGTTTTTAAAAACTGGCGTTAGTAGTATGTTTACTCTGATAATAAATCAGGCCTATTATTGTATAAGGGACGACGTGGTCGAATGGTAGAACCTAAGACTGCTAACCCAAAAGTCACGAGTTCAGTTATATGGCTACAGTCGATGCATGTCCCTGAGTTACAATAGGGAAAGTAAAGGCGGCTGACCACAATATCCCCTCATATGCCGAGGTCACAGAAACACACTTTATCTGCCCCGTGGGAATTTAAAACATTTTATTTATTTTTTTTATCATATAAATAAGAACTAAATAACAAAATGTTTTAACTTAGCGTCTTCTTTTGCTAAACTCAATACTTTAACTACAACCTTTGTACTAATATTTATTCCTTTGACGATTTAAAATGTTCTTAAAATGTTTTTTACACCCATATTGATTTTTAAAACAAAAAAAACGCGTGTTTATTTAAAAATGCTACAGTGCTTTTGCTTATGAGAATTATCAAACCTGACCCAAACCGTGCACCATACTTTTTCACGAACATGCAATCCCATTAGAAAGAATTTGAGCGACTCACCGCGTGTAGCCGACCCGAGGCGCGTGCAAGACGAGGGGGAGGGGAGGGGCGCTAACTCTGTGATGGGGAGAGAACCCAGAAACTATTGAGCTCCCCGTTCACTCACACATCGATCCACGCGCGTCATTTCGTGTGTGTCGCCACCGGCGTGTGTGAGTTTTCGGGAAAAAATTTTGTTCGCAGGGAGAAGAAAAAAAACGTGGAATTTTATTTGAAGGTTTTCTATCGGAGGTTTATCAAGTGTTCTTTTGTTGTCTTATCTACAGGCACGCCGGTAAATTGAGCCGGTAAAGAGAGCCGGTAAAAAGAGCCGGATACGATAGCCGGTCCAGCTGGATTACAAAACTCACGTCATGTAAGTACTCACCATACAGGGTCATTGCTACACGCGAGCGGCAAGCTGGCTCATCCGGCGTGAGGGTCAGCGTAACCAGATAGGTAGATTATTGGGGGGGTTTAGGTTAGGGGTAAGACGAAATCTAGAATAGGAGTTACAATTTTAACCAGGAATTTATATTATCACATTTAGGGTAGGGTATAATCAGAAATATGGATGAGTGGTTATGGTTAAGAATAATTATAAATTTAGATTGTTTGGTTGGGGGTGAGGGTAATTTGAGATTTTGTTCAGCAATGGATAGGTTCAGCTTATTTAGATATTTAAAGGTTTAAAGTTATAGTCAGATTAATAAAGGATTTTAGGGGTTATGGTTAGGGAAATCAGAGGTTTTGATTATCAAGGGTCAAGCTTTATAGGGGTTAGGGTCAGAATACTCACAAATTTGATTATTAGAACAGACATTTATTGAGGAAAGAAATTAAGCATATGTTTAGATCGATGGCAACACAGTGCAATCGATCTATTTTTTGAATATTTATAAGCCGCACTTAAACTACATGTCGACAACTAAATTCAAACTATAGGTTAAATAACAATAGGTTAAATAACAATAGGTTAAATAACAATAGGTTAAATAGCTATATGTTAAATAATAATAGCTGGTTAAATAGGTATCCATCACACTGTCTTTCCATTATGGGCACATCATCATCCAACAACAACAGCAGCATCACCACATCGTCCTCAGATCAGCAGCATCCTACCACTCCATCACCACCATCACCATCCAACTACAACAACACAACATCGTCATCAGACCAGCAGCATCCTACCACTCCATCACCACCCTCACCATCCAACAACAACAACACCAACACTACCACATCGCTCTCCGACCAGCAGCATCCTACCACTCCACCAACACCATCACCATCCAACAACAACAGCAGCATCACCACATCGTCCTCAGACCAGCAGCATCCTACCACTCCACCAACACTATTATCATCCAACTACAACAACATCGTCCTCAGACCAGCAGCATCCTACCACTCCACCAACACTATTATCATCCAACTACAACAACATCGTCCTCAGACCAGCAGCATCCTACCACTCCACCAACACCAACACCATCCAACAACAAACAACAGCACACCACAACGACTACTTAAAGATACCCTGAATGAATTTTGAGCTTTAAAAAAGTCATGAACAATAGATTAGGGACTGAGAGAGTGAGATATAGAGAGAGAAGATGGAGAGAAAGAAAGAAAATGGGAGGAAAATGAGAGGTGGGGATGTTGTGAAGCCTGCAGCTGTGATGTATTTACCCGGCATGCACTGTGTGAGATGGGAGAGTAAGATAGGCAGGGAGGGGGGGGGGAGGCGGCAGGTGAGGAATGCTGCACGTTTTTTTTTTGTCGGTGTTCAAATCAGGTCAAGTTTGACGGATGGCACGGGGGGGGGGGGGGTAGGGATGTGTTGCTTGGTTGTAGGAGGGGGGGGGTGATGTTGGCTGTTGTAGTGGTAGGGGGTAGTTGGTGATGTGTCGAATGGTTGTTGTAATGTAAAGGGGTGGGGTAGGAGGTGGTAGGGTGTTAGCTACCGATGTGTAGTATGGTTTTATAATGTAAATGGGTGGTTGTAGGTCTTGAGTGGGGGTAGGAACATAGGTAAATTATCATTGGGGGGGGGGGGGGGGCTTTGGTGTACTCTTGGCAGGTTAATGCTGTGGGGTGTGGTCGAGGGTCTGAGATAAAAATTAAGATGATCTTAAAAGTGTGGGGCTGTGTTACCTAGCGGTAGAGCGCTAGACTGCTAACCTGAAAGTCTGGAGTTCGAATAGTCCACCTATCTAAGATGGGTACCTAACTCACGTTAGGAAAAACAAAGGCGGATGAACATTCTATCCTTTCATATAGAAGTCTCTGAAACAGATAAACTCTACTTCTTCTGCCCTCATGTGTCTTGGGCACGAATGAAAAAATATGATGATGGTCTTAAAAGTGCACTTTGTAAACAAATTCTCAGTTGCCGTCAATGACAAGTAACATTAAGACGGTCCCTAAACAACATCACGTTAGGCTCTCTCCATTTTAGTTCTCCTAAAATGTTACTTGTATGACGCGAGTCTGACGCACGATCGACTTAACCAGCCTTGACACCTAGATCTAGATAGAAGCTGGATCAAATTTTGACAAGACCTAGGCTTCAGGCTAGCTCTATATAGAAAACAAACAGCTAAGACAAACAGCTAAGACAAACAGCTAAAACAAACAGCTAAGACAAAGAGCTAAGACAAAGAGCTAAGACAAAGAGCTAAGACAAACAGCTTAGACAAACAGCTAAGACAGACAGCTAAGACAAACAGCTAAGACAAACAGCTAAGACAAACAGCTAAGACAAACAGCTAAGACAAACGGCTAAGACAAACAGCTAAGACAGACAGCTAAGACAAACAGCTAAGACAAACAGCTAAGACAAACAGCTAAGACAAACAGCTAAGACAAAGAGCTAAGACAAACAGCTAAGACGACAGCTAAGACAAAGAGCTAAGACAAACAGCTAAGACAGACAGCTAAGACAAACAGCTAAGACAAACAGCTAAGACAAACAGCTAAGACAAACAGCTAAGACAAACAGCTAAGACAAACAGCTAAGACAAACAGCTAAGACAAACAGCTAAGACAAACAGCCGATAGAGAACACGGTTCCTGGAGGCTGAATCCCTTAAGCTCTGACCAGCTAAGCTCTCGTAAACTCTGCATTAGTCCCAAGTGCTAAGCTCTCCGCCTCGCCTCTTAAACTCCTTCGCACTGTAGTTTAGTTCTAATCCTTTAGCTCGATAGACCAGTATTAGCACTTGGTCCTTTAATTACGTAGGTTTAGTTGTGTCACAAGCTTCATGTAAAATGTTGGTCTATTGAGCCATATAGAGACATATTTGATCTAAATGTTGGTCTAGTGAGCCGTATAGAGCCATACTTGATCTAATATGTTGATCTAGTGAGCCGTATAGAGCCATATTTGATCTAATATGTTGATCTATTGAGCCATATTACATATAGAGCCATATTTGATCTAAAATGTTGGTCTGTTGAGCCATATAGAGCCATATTTGATCTAAAATGTTGAGTCATATTACATATAGAGCCATATTTGATCTAATATGTTGGTCTAGTGAGCCATATAGAGCCATATTTGATCTAATATGTTGGTCTAGTGAGCCATATAGAGCCATATTTGATCTAATATGTTGGTGTATTGAGCCATATAGAGCCATATTTGATCTAAAATGTTGGTGTATTGAGCCATACAGAGCGATATTTGATCTAAAATCTTGGTCTATTGAGCCATACAGAGCCATATTTGATCTAAAATCTTGGTCTAGTGAGCCATAAAAAGCTATGATCTAATATGTTGGTCTATTGAGCCAAATAGAGCCATATTTGATCTAAAATGTTGAGCCATATTACATATAGAGCCATATTTCATCCAAAATGTTGGTTTGATAGGCCCTAAAGAGCCATATTTAACCAAAATATTTGACTATAGGTCCTATTGAGCCATATTTCTCCAAAACCAGTTTTCTAGTATAGAGCCAATCCTTGGTTTAAAAAAATACATGACCATCATGTTCGTTACTGGACATTGGTGTATTGATGTGGCCGAGTGGTAGAGCCGTACAGCCTCTAGCTGGTAAAAGCTATTCGAGTTTTGACTTGGGTCTACCAATTGTTAGAGAACCCAAAAATTTGTAAGTGAATCCCAAATCTTCGCTTAGCTTTTTCTGTATAAAGTTTTCGGACAATGCGAGATAACAAACTGGACGTAACCCCGAAGGACGATGGTGGTGGGTCATTTCAACCCCGCAGATCTTGTACTATAGTTTTTTCTTTGCCTCAGACATGTAATTTACAGCGTCAGTTTGTCTTGCATGTTCACTTTAATATTATAGTTTCATTCATCGGCTTCTGAGGACTGATACAGATTTACACTAGTAATACTTCTTTCTTACATGTAGCCTACTTTCATTCGTTTTGGACGGTTTACTTACATATAGTGTCATAAAGATATTTAATACAAAAAACTTCAAAGAAAGTTAAACCTCCAACAGTAAGTTGAGTTGTGGATCTACATCTATTAAGGCTTAACCATACTGCTTTCCTAATAGTTTGGGGAAAATGTATACTTAAGAAATAAATATTGCCACTAGCTTACTATACTTCTTCTGTTTCAAATAACACCTCATACATTTATGTCTAAATGGATAAGAAATTAAAATGTAATTAACTTGTAAATATTTTTTATTAACAGCTAAATTTATGTTTTTGTTACCTTCTCTATTTACTTTTGTGCTTATCTCCACTTCAATTATTTTCTATTTTAAAAAATGTAGTCAATTTTAGCACTCATATAAAAGTTTGTTGACGTGTTTCAATCAATTGGTAGCGAGAAATCGTCAACAGAAATCGTCAACAGAAATCGTCAACAGAACAAATATTGGTAGATCTGTCGTGTCAACAAAGTCGACATGTTGACCTAAGTTGACCTCAGTGTTTCATCACGCTGAAATCGTCAGAGGTCGCCAAACTGTAAACAAATGTATTAGCAAGGGTTAATTCATCCCATCAGCAAATTTAAAACCCTAAACTTTATTTAACCACAACTAGTTTTCACTAGAGACATTGTTAACAAAACGTTACTGTCCCTTCCAGCCAACATTGGAATGTTGATTTAATATTTCTTCTTTAAGAAAATATCTTTATTATATATTCAACATGTAAGCAGAAAATAAGTGTTTTGTTTTTCATATAAATTAATACTTTTCTTTTTATAGAAATGTACCATTTAACTAAGTATACTTTGTTGTGTATACCCTCGCAAGGCTTACATTATCATGTAGGCTTCACATCACGACACTCACTAACTCAAATTCTCCAAGCAGACTTTACACACACCATTACAGCAACACAGAGGCGTAGCGATGGGGGGGGGGAGGGGGCAGGTGGGAACATATGTCCCCGGGAGCCGACCTTAGAGGGCGCCAAAATGGGTTGTAAAAACAAATTAAAATGTCATTTAGCTGTATTTTTGCAGTTTGAGGGGGGGGGGGGGTGCGAATTGAAAATTTACTCCCGAGGGGGGCGCCTAATTGAAAGTTTGTCCCCGGGCGCCGGGAAGGGTCGCTACGCCTCTGCAGCAACATTCATTTATCACAACAACAACACTAATTACACCTAAGCAAGGCGCCCTGAACTTTGACCCCCATCAATCTTACCCTTGACATTCACCAACACCTACCTAAACACCGGCCATCCATTTCCTGCCATCGTCACGTGCCGGCCGTCAACTCCCAGAATCCAGTGCGCGCACATGTCGTCTGCTCCGTGATTTCTAAACCCGCCCTAATCCGTCGTTTGCTCTAACATAGAAGTATTTCAAACTGAAAATCGACTTACTACTCCACCCCTTCCCCGGCCCTTAAAACTTTTCTTTAATCCTTTTAGCTGTATAATCTGTCTAAATATCGATATCGATTAGGCGTTTTTTTATTCGCTGTATTATTGTTGAAGGTTTTCAAAGTTTAAAACTGGATTATTCTTTAGCTTAAGCATAGAATAATTTTAAAATAACACTTTTAAAATAAACATGCACTTGAAGCACCAACCCCTCCCCTCCCCCTTCCCCTCCTCAACTTATCGAAAATTAATGAATTCATTAAGTTAAATATTGGTTACAAGGGTTATGATTCAAATATTCGCTCGTGAACTTTGTCTAAAACACACCACTGAAGTCGAAAAAAAAAAAATCACGAATGCGTCCTTTACTAAATATCGTATTGATGCCTAGAATAAAATACATGACAAAGGAACAGTCGTGTTTAACCCCCCCCCCCCCCCTACCATTTACTCTCATAACCCAGTTTACATAATACTGCCCTCCTTACAAGCCCCATGCTAATACCAGATTTGTATTACCTCACCCACATTAATCAAACCAATTTTTTTAACTCAAAATATTTTATACACATCTACTACCACCCTCTCATAGTCCACTCATCAAGTTGGCAACACCCTTGACAGTCTAGACGTGTAATTAACAAACATCATTAATTGTCCAACTGCCATAGTCGTATTTTTGCCAAAGCTAAAATACATCAAATCTGTGCAGTCGTTAATCAAACGCGTAGC